GTATCATGCACTCAGCATTGTGCGCAACCTATTCTCACTCGGCTAGGGAAGCATGTTTACGATTCGTGGCAGGCGAGTTGGTGTCCAGTTTTATTGGACAATTATGACAACCCTGGCTATGGCGTGTTGTTCGTCGAACGCACTCACTACGTTGCATGCCAGCAGTCTGAAGTTCGTGTGCCCTTCATGCAGGCTGACATGACCATGCTGATGCTGACCAAAAACCTAGCATGCTTTCCTGGTATAGATGTACAATGTAGATGTAGCCGCCGACTTCCTCCCCTAGATCATAATTATTATCTAATGCTGCACTGGCCAGTAGCGTGGAGAGTATTTTCATACATTGACGAAATGGATCAGTGCCAGGGGGCCGTCACGGAACTCACTTGCCACGTTTAACTTGTAATTTTGACTATTAGTCAGTGCAGGACGTGTTGATCGCTGAGAGTGTTCCAGCACCGGCTGGTAAGACCTACATGTAGATCAGTACATGTGCATTGTAAGTTCCATGACCAGACTGCCAGGCCCATCTTGCAGCTCTCACTATCAACATCAGTATATGCAGCACCTGCACAACACGATTGATGATTGATTGTCATCATGTGTAAAGTGAGCACAGACAGTACAGTAGTGCCAATGCCACCAAGACTGGCAAGACTGGCAAGACTGGCAAGACTGGCAAGACTGGCAAGACTGGCAAGACTGGCAAGACTGGCAAGACTGCAAGAGTACATAATTATACATGTACATGTACATGTATACTAGTAACATGCACAGAGTGTAATACTGTAATACTGTAATACTGTGCTCTTTGAGTCTTGGTAGTACCCGTACTTGTACATGATTGTATCACAACACAAGGAAAGGCTCATGCTGTGATGTTGTCACCGTTTCCTTGGGGAATTTCCACGAACAAAACTGAAGGAATGCTATTCGTCCTCCACAAAAAGAGCAGTGCCCGCGATTCAACCTGTTCAGGCACCTTTTAATTACTTGACGCGCTGTTACATGGAATCGGTGGGGACACTACATGTACATGTACATTGTAGCGTCCCACAGCTGACATCTGGGCTGGACACCACTGACTTCCAGTATCTTCCAAACGTAGTAACCTTGTGACGTTGTACTTGCATTCTCGAAGTCTCTCATTCACAGCAACAACAAGAGCAATCTGGTTTCAACTTACTTCAAGCAATACCGTACAATCATAATGACTAACTGTCTGCACTAATTACAAGCATGTTAGGATTGTTAGCCTCATACATTGTACATGTATTATGCATAAGCACAATCCCAGTACTGCAGTAGAACATCATTCAGAACCAGTGAAGGTTCTTATGACGTGGGCACAACCGACTGCGTATCGCCAGTGATTCGTCACTCTCGTCTGGAACCCTCGGCCTCGGTCCCTCGGCTGACAGTCGAGACCAGGTAACCATGGTAACTGGTTCACTAGTGAAGGTGCACCATTAATACCTAAAAATAATCGACATTCTTCACTATCCTGTCAACGACGCACATGTAAATGCACATGTGTTGCATGTTATGATTGAATTGGACCCTGGCCTTGGTACTGCTACCTGGGACGTTGCCAGGACCGCGTTGAAACAAAGAGCTATCTGAGTCACTACTAGGCTCCTCCATGGCTCCAGCTGTAGTTTAGGGATTACCGGTACAAAGACATCATCTACGGCCCGAAGCACAATGCAAAGGGGCCGGGCTACCAGTTTGGTCTTTGAACTGCCACTGACTGTGTGTTGACAGCTGCGAACAGCCTGCAGCCACATCAGTGACATGCCCGGAACTTGCTCGGACAGAGTTGTCAGTTGGTCAAGAGCCAGTCACCGTGCGCGGATGTTGCTGTAAACAACCTCATTTGCTGGCGATAGTAGTCATGACATTGTGCTGTATAGTGAAATCGCTCACCGGCTGGCAGTGCACTACTAGTGGTGTTTGTATGGCTGCTAGCAAGAGTATAACCCCCCCCCCCCCAGGGGGGGCTACTATACTCTTGCTGCTAGGCTACATACACACTACACAGGTCACTGCTAGCACTACAAGCTTGTTTGTACTGTACATGTGGTTCCAGGTTCATGCAGCATGATGTGCATGTGATACTGGTGATTTCAAACGAATGGTATGGATACAATCGTGTCATGCACAAAGTGTACCACTATGGAACTACAAAGCATGTGCAATGCCGACTCCGATTTCTCAACGCTAGTTCCTGGATCAGCACATGGGCCTCCTGTAGAAATGCCTAGTCCAAGACAGTGGTTCACGTCAATCGCACAGCATACTGTAGTGAACGTGTACACAGCACATAGAAGTAGAGAATGGTGCCGATTACAGTGGATACGCATGTACATAAAGAGGGAGAGAGAGAGAGAGTGAGTGAGAGAGAGAGAGAGAGAGAGAGAGAGAGAGAGAGAGAGAGAGAGAGAGAGAGAGAGAGAGAGAGAGAGAGAGAGAGAGAGAGAGAGAGAGAGAGAGAGAGAGAGAGAGAGAGAGAGAGAGAGAGAGAAAAGAGAGAGAGAGAGAGAGAGAGAGAGAGAGAGAGAGAGAGAGAGAGAGAGAGAGAGAGAGAGAGAGAGAGAGAGAGAGAGAGAGAGAGAGAGAGAGAGAGAGAGAGAGAGAGAGAGAGAGAGAGAAAGAGAGAGAGAGAGAGAGAGAGAGAGAGAGAGAGAGAGAGAGAGAGAGAGAGAGAGATAGAGAGAGAGAGAGAGAGAGAGAGAGAGAGAGAGAGAGAGAGAGAGAGAGAGAGTGAGAGAGAGTGAGAGAGTGAGAGGAGAGAGAGAGAGGAGAGAGAGGAAGAGAGAGGAGAAATAGAGAGAGAGAGAGAGAGAAATGGAGAGAGAGAGAAAGAGAGAGAGAGAGAGAGAGAGAGAGAGAGAGAGAGAGAGAGAGAGAGAGAGAGAGAGAAGAGAGGGAGGGAGAGAAGGAGAGAGGGAGAGAGGGAAAGAGGCAGATACAGACAGAGGCAGGCGGAGAGAGAGAGAAGGAGAGAGGGAGAGAGGGAAAGAGCTAAAGAGGCAGATACAGACAGACAGAGGCAGGCGGAGAGAGACCGGTATGGTGCGATACGATGCAAGGGCATATTTCATTATTTCGACGTACATGTACATGTACATGTAAGTCTACAGCGACAATCAAGGACTTAGACTTAGGTCCGGACTTTGGGATGCGGTAACAGTGTGCTCAGTACATGGACACGCAGTACAGGTACGCATGCGCTCCATACATAACCATGACAACGCATCCTTAGAAGCAAGAGTACGTGTTGTGTAAGTACATGTACTTAGTTGGTTTTTCATTTACTTGCAGAAAGTGCTGGATGAGCCTGTGCGCTTGTTGCCTAAACTATAAGTAAAGATTGGTGAATGGCCATGAAACTCTGAGTACGTGTACATGTACATGTAGAAGTAAATACATTAAATTTTGTTAGATTGACAGCATGAAACAAGGAGGAGGACACTGTGTTCGAAAACAGTGACCTTACTACAACCTTCCGCGATTGGCAGAGCCCCGGTCCCTGCGGATCATTTGAACCATATGGGTATCGCACCCGGTTCTGACCCTCGTTATGCTCGGGGGTTAGGAGACTACTCCTGATGTCGTCTTGTTGTCTTCGCTCTTTTTAACTTGTATAAAAACTTCTTTTTCTTTTTCTGTCCAACTTCTGCCCATTGCCCACCTTCTCGCGACAGTGTCATGGTGATGACAAAAAACTATTTACACAATTACAGCTGACGAGCTGAGAGAAGGACGCTGTATTCGATATTTCTGAAGACTGTATTATTGTACCACAAGGAGCGTAACGATTCCACAAAAGGCGATCGTTCAAAGCAGGTAACAACAAAGAGCAAACTACGCTCAAAACCAAAACCAAAACAACAACTGCACCAGCAAGCTCTTTCCTTGCACTAACTACAAATACATCAAAAACCAAGCAGCAAAATGCAAATCCGCACGCATGTTTGCCGGAACTGAACCTCCGTAGCGCAGCTGATCATCGCGGCTGCACGGGACGACCTTCCCGCCACAGTAGGGCAAAGAACTATGCATGGAACTAGCAATGAATGCATGCAGCACACCGGCAAGCCGTCCCTACGCAGACGTCTAGTCTAGCGTGAGCAAGGATGAATAGCATGAGAAACATGATATCACACATTGACTCCTATGATGCATGCAATGTATACAACATACCCCCCACCTTGAACGAACCCGGGGAGAGTGAAACTACACCAAAGGAAGATACTAGTATGTAGCACACAGCACATAGAGGAATAAGTGCCTAATGCTCTAGAAAGCAGCGAGAAAATGAGGTGACGAAAGTGTACTGTGTTACTAACTAACGTCTGTTCCATCAGTGTCTTACTGCAACTCATCCAAGTCGAGGGCTGACGACTGAGATACCGCAGTGGCTGCTTCAGCTGTCGGGATATCGAGCGGCACTAGGTATCGAACACCACGCCGATATTTCTTGCCGTTGACCTGGATGTCCACGACACGAACAATGCCGTCCTTGCCATGGAACGTGGCCTTCACGCGTCCTAGCGGCCATCTGTAGCGTGGCAACGCATCATCCATGACGAGGAAGACGTCTCCAATCTCGACCGTGCCCGATTGGCGGCGCCACTTAGTCATGATGTTCATAGCAGAGACCATTTCTCTTAGCCACCGCTTCCAAACATCTCTGAGGAGCTGCTGGATAACTTTCCAGCGATGGTATGGGTGAACTGGCGTCGACTCTGAGTCTGCCGCCATCTCCAGAGCTGTTGCGATGTTGACATGACCCACGACGAAGTTTGCTGCTCCTTGTCGGTCAGGCTAGCCTTGTACAGGACTGACTGGAGTGCCCTTTTCAAGGCCCCGACCACCCTCTCAAATGCTCCGCCGAAGTGCGGCCGAGCTCTTCCCCGCGGTGGTACAGGAGGTAGCGGCCATGGAGGTTTCCGTGGCGGCGGCAGAGGTGGCGGTGATCGCGGTGGATTAAACTCTTACTGCCATCTGATGCCTTGAATCGCCAACCCAGCTGTGATGTTGGCTTGATCCAAATCCCTCAGCGCTTCCTGCAGTTCACGATCGGTAGCAACGAAGTTACTGCCGTTGTCGGAGAGGATCAGTGTTGGTCGACCTCGGCGATGGCACAACCTTGCCAAAGCCATCTCCATGCCCTCGACATCCAGAGAACGCACTACCTCCAGGTGGCACGCACGGGTCTGCAGACATGAGAACGCAGCTATATAGCGCTTCTCTTTCGATCGTCCGCGTCCCATCTTGACCAGGAAAGGCCCAGCGTAGTCTACTCCAGTGTGAGCGAATGCCTGTAACGGTCCGCTTGTCCGGATGTTTGGCAAGTTCCCCATCTTGGGCTCAGCGACACGTCTCCACAGCTTCTGGCAACGGACACAGCGGTGACGGTAGGATTTAACGACCTGGCGACCCTTGATGATCCAATACCGATCGGCCAGGTTAGAGAGCAGATGGTTCGTGCCTGCTCCGTGTTGACAGCGTCCATCCGCATGCCCAACAATTAGCTGAGTGACGCGATGATTGGCGGGCAGTATCACACGGGACCGGAACTGGTCAGACAGGTGGTGTGAGGTCCGGAGCCGTCCACCAACTCGGAGCAGCGGTGGACCGTCAGTGTCCAGGAACGGCTGTAGCTTCGTTAGCGGTGCACTGGGTGGAAGAGGCTTATTCTCCTTCAGCGTTGACACTACTTCTCCGTAGCACTGCCTCTGCGCATAGCTTATCCAGAGCCGCTCGGCGCCTTGGAGTTCTGTGACCGTCAATTCGGGAACCGAAACAGCCTTAGCACTCTTGAGAGATACTTGCACGGTAGCACCTGCGTTGCTGTCACACTGCTGAGGTCGGCCTCTGGTATTATCAAGGAACCGTTTACACCAGGCTGTGACCCGCAGAAGATTGCTCCAGGACGAGACGTTGTCTGGGTGCAGGCGGCATGTCGTCTGCTCTGCCTGGATCTGGCTAGTGAGAGTCATCGGGTGCGGTCGCTGAAGCAGTGCCGGAAGAACCTGGGGCACTATGATGTCTTTGTTCGGCCATCGCTCCGGACGCTCTTGCAAGAACTCTGGGCCACTCCACCATTTGCCGTCATCCTGCAAGTGCGAGGCCGCAACTCCACGACTTGGTAGATCAGCCGGGTTCAATCGGCCGCTGACGTGCTCTTGCCTTCTGCTGCCGCTGCTGGTACGCTCTTGCCTTCTGCTGCCGCTGCTGCTGCTGCGCTGTTGCCTTCTCCTGCCGCTGCTGCTGCGCTCTTGCCTTCTGCTGCCGCTGCTGCTGCGCTCTTGCCTTCTGCTGCCGCTGCTGCTGCGCTCTTGCCTTCTGCTGCCGCTGCTGCTGCGCTCTTGCCTTCTGCTGCCGCTGCTGCTGTACTCTTGCCTTCTGCTGCCGCTGCTGCTGCGCTCTTGCCTTCTGCCGCCGCTGCTGCTGCGCTCTTGCCTTCTGCTGCCGCTGCTGCTGCGCTCTTGCCTTCTGCTGCCGCTGGACCTACTAAACCTGGCTAGTCTGGGTTCCACGCGAGTTCGAGGCGCAGGTGAAGGTGCAAGAGGCGCATATGACACACGTTGAAGTTGAACTCCTGCCGTTCCAGGCGCTCCTACTCCATCAAGTGCAGGCTGATCAAAACTACAACTAGTTTGTTCTGCTGCCGAGATCGACATTCGGCTGTCCAATCTTCTGACAACACCTCCTGGACTACCACAAGTAGCACTCGTCTTCCGCGATCGCGGTGCAGGCGTTGGTCGTCTCGGCACTGCCACTGGTACTGGCACGGGACTCGGCTCTGCCGTAGATGTACGTCCATGACGCTCACTCAATCCACGCGCGATCCAGGCTGCATGCAGCGCTTCCATAGAAGCGGTCTCCTCTGCGATCAGGAGTTTTAGTTCCTCCGCTCGCCTATTCAATTTCGCTAAACTCAATTCGAGCTCCTCTTTATCTGACTCCTCAAACCCATATCGAGCCGAGTGCCAGCCTTTAGTCTTTCTTCCACTACGCATCGGTCCGATCGCCCGCGACTCACTCATCCTTGTGAGGTTATAAAATGAACCGCGACTAGATCCGGCTCGAAGGACCACTATGTATTCGATATTTCTGAAGACTGTATTATTGTACCACAAGGAGCGTAACGATTCCACAAAAGGCGATCGTTCAAAGCAGGTAACAACAAAGAGCAAACTACGCTCAAAACCAAAACCAAAACAACAACTGCACCAGCAAGCTCTTTCCTTGCACTAACTACAAATACATCAAAAACCAAGCAGCAAAATGCAAATCCGCACGCATGTTTTGCCGGAACTGAACCTCCGTAGCGCAGCTGATCATCGCGGCTGCACGGGACGACCTTCCCGCCACAGTAGGGCAAAGAACTATGCATGGAACTAGCAATGAATGCATGCAGCACACCGGCAAGCCGTCCCTACGCAGACGTCTAGTCTAGCGTGAGCAAGGATGAATAGCATGAGAAACATGATATCACACATTGACTCCTATGATGCATGCAATGTATACAACAGACGCCATGGGCAGAAGTTCGAAAGAAAAAGAAAAAGAAGTTTTTATATAAGTTAAAAAAGAGCGAAGACAACAAGACGACATCAGGAGTAGTCTCCTAACCCCCTAGCATAACGAGGGTCAGAACCGGGTGCGATACCCATATGGTTGGTTTGGTTTGGTTTTTATTATTTCAGTTCGTTGCCTCAACAGTACAAAGTACAAATATCAAGAGGGACGAACGAAAAGAGAAAATAAAACAGAGCAGAGAGGAAGATGCAACTGAAAGGAAAGAAAAACGGAGAGAAATGGAGAAGGAATGTGGACTGGGCGGATTCATGAACCATTACTAGAGAGAAACGGAGAAGGAATGTGGACTGGGCGGATTCATGAACCATTACTAGAGCAGGGCAATGCATGAACAGAAGGGGCAAGTCCGTCGATATTCATGTTTAAAAAAATTCCAAGCCTTATTTTATTGGTGAAATACATTTTCAAAAAGGAGGGGATATAGTGATATACTAGTGATATACTAGTAACCAATTTGTCGTCATTTAGATCTCGAATCATCCAGTTCCGGCTTGGATGGCGCGATCCCCTGGAACAAACCACAGTTTGACATCTTCATAATCATGCATGCTGCAAGGCTCAGGACGGCAGTTCCCCACAAGTCATGCATACACAGAAGATGCAGACCTGCAGCTCTGATTGAGTCTGATCCTCTAAAGTTCTGTAGAAAATGATCTAATGTCCTCACTTCCTTTCAAGTGAGCAGGGAGGGCATTCCACATAAGGGATGCTCTGGAGGAAAAGGAATTGTACCCTACCATGGATTTATACAAGCAAATTGACAAATTGTTTGTTATACATGTAGTTCCACGAGTTGACCGCTTAGAGGTGGGCATTCAAATGGTCCGCAGGGACCGGGGCTCTGCCAACCGCGGAAGGTTGTAGTAAGGTCACTGTTTTCGAACACAGTGTCCTCCTCCTTGTTTCACGCTGTCAATCTAACAATTGCGTGAACTACAACAAGGTTTATCGAATACTGCCTACTGGTTTACCAGTTTTGGATTATATCAAGTAAATACACATGTAAAATTAGTCTTGTTCCACTGGTGACTTGTGTAGAAGCAAGAGTAAAAATTAATACACTCCTAAGAGCATTATGCACTCTTGAAAGAAGACTGAGCGAGGTTTTACTTTTTATAGTTGGTTGAGTTCTTTTGTCAACTAACACTACACTAGTCTACAGCCAGTAACATGGTGACACCACCTTCTGGGCCTGGCTTTATTCTGCTTTATGACTCAAAAGGTAGTACTACAAGATCTACATGATTGTCAGATTGAGAGAATCACGTCGTCGTTGGCTATGTGCACGTGACTACGGGCGCGCGCGCAGCTGTTTTCAAATCTCCACAGATATACAATGTCTAGATATCAAAAAGATGTGTTCAGTGTGTGCGCCACAAGATCGACTCGATGAGTGTAAGCAGACTGCATGCAGTAGAGTGCATCCAAAGCCAAAGGCAAAGGATAATCTAAAAACGCATTTTATAAAGGGCTAGGGGCTAGGGGTGTGGAAAATAATTATTTCGCTGTTTTACCGATCATCTAGCGCTGGAATTATTTAGGGAAGTATTATCTCCATGGGCTCCGTATCGCCGTAGGTAATTCCAGTTGTATCCACCACTAGGCACCAGTATCAGTTAGGTGATCGTATGTAGCGAGGGGGACTCATGTGCCAATACTAGGTTTCTAGCTGTGACAGAATATGGAGACATCACGTCTTGGTCTCTCTGACTTGCATCACACCGCCGGTCATGGCCGTACTCCTCCTGCAACGCACCATCGTGAGTATGGACATCACCCTGCTTCCTCTTCGCAACCATCAGCCGCTCCGCCAGCACAGGGCCAGCCCGAAGCTGCGCACACGATACTGCACGCTAGAACGCCTCAAGCAGCTCGACAGATACGACAGCTAACGTCCTCACTGCGCGACTGCAATCGCGCTGTGAACGACGTGGACGCTCTGTCCAGAGAGCTACAGGAGCTGGCCAATGACCAGGAGGGCGAGATCAGAGAGGTAACTGGGCTTATAATAATGCTATGCTCGAGGTGCACAGTTGCATAATACATGATTTTCGTGAAATCTAGTACATTGTCATTGTACAATCATGTACTTGACCCCATGCAGTACTAGTACCGGTAATGCCCAAATCCATTGAATCAAAAATGAGGAAAAGAGCGGGAATTACTGTATTGACATTGAACTAATTTGGTAATATATATCTACGTAAACGTGCGTGCCCTCTGATGCATGTGGATGACAGAAGTTCACGGACGTTTCTGCTATGATTGATTTAATTGAGTGTGAAACATGATGATGTGGCTTGGCCCTGCTGCCTCAGCTATCATGGTTATACCATAACCGCTCCGACTATACCGTCTGGGCGAGTACAGACGGTAACGCATGCATTTCACACCACGTTGCAATGTGCTGAGTACTGACCATTCCTAGTAGACCAGTAAATCCACACTACATTGTAGATGTCAGTGTTCCGTGCATTGGACTATTGGACTATTGCAACAAAGTTTCCTTGCTGCAACATGCAATGTTTCTACCCAATCTTGCCGGACGTTAATCAATGTCTCCTGTTACAGCTGCTTCAAGCGAAATACGACGTCCTGAATAGGGCAGCTGTGACCGAAGTTCCTATATGGGAACCCAGTGCCAGCATTACTCAGGCCGCACAACCCTGCAGTTGTTACTTGACATCAGACTTTACTTTACCACACATGTAGCGAAATACTGCCTTCCGTTGTCTATTCTGTACCAGTGTATCCAGGCAGGCAAGCATTGTGGCATGGCCAAGGATCATATCTGAGAAACAGAGGGCCTGGTGAAGGAGAGAGAGAGAGAGAGAGAGAGAGAGAGAGAGAGAGAGAAGGGGGGGGGGGTACAAGGTTCAGATCCTGCTTGAAAGCACAAGTATTTTTCCTACCCTAGCTGCTTTGACCCACAGTTTATTTGGAACCAGTGGTCTTGCACGACGGCAACATGAATGTAGTGATCATGTGAATGGGATTCTAGGTCATGGACCGCTCGGTGGTGGGTCTGATATACTTGCCTCCCATCGCTTAAGGAGCTGTATCTGTGCCTTGATCATGGCGGGTGGTGACTTCTCTGGATATGTGAAGATCAGTCTGACTGCTGCCCACCTTTAACAATATTGTTCTATATTCGAGTTAGTCAGCCCTTCTGAAATCTTATCTGGTGCCACGTATGTATTTGGCTTCATTCAAATAATTCCTAGTATAATTTTTCGTGTGCTGTGCAGCTGAAGTCGCAACTCTCCACCTCGGAGCGCCGACGAAGGAAGGCACAATCCCAAACCAGCCAGCCGTTAGTGAATGACATTAACATTACTTCATGGGATACCATGAGTTCAGCTGCTATTGTTATGTTACTGCATGTGATGTTATAGACTGATGTCCTTAACCCTTTGTGTACGGACCGCAGAACTTTTAATCCCCTTGGATCGAACCTTTTCTATATTTCAATCGATCGTTGGGAATAGCGCACTCGTCATTTTGAGAGAGAAAAAAACTGCACACAATACTTACTAGTATGTTACTAGTACTTGGGAAGTATTTGGTCCTTGAGCCAATTCCAAGCCGCAATGGTCGGACTGGTGGGGATCGTATAGCACTGGTTTAGAAATATTATTAATGGCTTTGATGTTGCGCACAGTACATTGTCATAGCTTTGCAAGCTACTGCTTCCTGCAATCTGCAATCTGTAATCTGATGATTCCCGTAATCTGATGATTCCCGTAATCTGATGATTGGCCTGTCTGTTTGTACTTTTCTTGCCCAAACTGAGCAGGAATGTGCGCTTTCGTGAGCGGCCGGTGTCAAGCTCCGGCTATGATACAAGTCCGGGTGACCGGCCATCTCAGGTGAGAATGGCAGATACTCGTGTTAGCTGCTCTGGCTACACAGTCCCCAAGGTACTCTCAGAGGACGGGTTGTTGTATGAGAGAAAGTATTATTGCAGAATGAAGTATAGGAATAAGGAAGATGTAGAATGAAGAGTGATGAACCTCTGGAGCATGCACTCTTCTATACCTGATGGGTTCTGATCACTATGGTAAAGAAGCGGGAAATACGAATAGTGAGCACATAGTATATTATACTGTATGGATGTCTAAGGATAACTTCATAAGTACACCTGTTACACTCTATCAACTGACCTAGATATAAACACAGGCGCGTAGCACCGCCGTTGGCGGTGGTCCGGAGGGGGGGGGGGTTCGGGGATCTGCCCCCCGTAATTTTTTTGAAATTAGGGTGCAAAATCCTGCATTCTGGGCACTTTTGGCATTGTTTTACTGTGGTGGTCGGGCGAAAAAGTGGTCCGGCCAAAGCCGGACCGGCCGGAGCGGCTGCTACGCCCCTGAAACATACCCTTCCAATGAAGTGCAGTTGACTCAGATTGCTGTAGCGTATACAGCACAGATAGAGCACGGTCTAGATAGCAAGCCAACTCAGTATAATGTCGGCTTTTGTGTGTTTATGTTGAGATGGGAGGGGGGGGGGAGGGGCAAAGAGAAGAGAAAGAGAGAGGAAGTGCACGTGTCTGAGGGGAGGAGTCTTTGTATCAACATTACAAGATTCTTGTTCCTTGCACTACCCACTTACCTACACACCGTTATTGTGTATGCTTGGCTACAGACGACTGGATATGCCAGCAGCACAAACTCTGGAATGGAGTCCCTCTCCGGGATGCTTGGCCAATCACTACGCCAGCAGGACGGTAAATGCTTATAAACTCTGTGTAGCCGCTGCACCATAAGTTTGGGGTGCCCTATTACGCTCAGCACAATGATAATGTTGTCTCGCCAATAGACTCCCTCATTATGCCATGCGGGACGAGTGACCGATGTAATGCAATCTCATTTGACTACTGTTGTAGTGATAGAAATCTGGCCCTGTATGAGACTGCGCAGTGATTGGACTTTGGCAATGTGATATTCCACGTATACCCTGTACAACAAACTTGCTTGGATTCTAAATGGGCCACAATATCATAGATTGGGTATGCACAAGGAAAGGAGTTCGAGCATTCAGGGCAGCACCGTTTATCAGGTGATTCTCAAATGTGTAACACGTTTGCGCTGAGTAGGAACATTGGGTTGATGATACGTGTAGTTGTATGTTGTACTGTGTAAGTTATGCATGGATGCAAAGCCTGCACCCTTTGCAGAGTGATCCCTTCTGGCATGTGTTGGGCTACACTGGTCATAACTGTAGTACATTGTACATGTACCGGTATTAGCTTTCATACTCTACCCGGGAGGCTTTCCTCATTGTTAGAATAGGGCCCTGCTGAACTGACTTCGCGCAACATCATTGAGTCTTTAGCGCCAATGTCCCGGCACATGGTTTTTCAAGGGTCTTTTGATCTTGACTTGTGTGTTGTTGCGCCTTTAACGGTAAATTAGCATCTCAACTACCATTATTGAATGTGTGTGCGTTTGTCATGTTGCACGCATTACTAGCTGTATTGATTATGCAGATGTGTGACAAGGGAAGTGGTATATTCTCCTAGGCTTGGGTGCAGTGTAGTTAGATCAGTGCAAAGTGGAATTCTGGTCATGTTTGCCTGCGGAGACTCGCAGCTACTGTCAGCACTGACTGGCATTGAAACACACTAGCAGTGGGTGAGTTCAGTGTGTTCTTCAATGTTGTCTGGTTAGTTAGTGAAGCTCCTGGCAGTGTGTGTATGATTTCTCAGAGGAGTTGTTTAACTCGTTTGTTTGACTTGTATTCCATTGACTGGAATCATTGTGCCGTACAGAGTTGAGACGCGAGCTGCAGCAGCAGGGACGGACACTGCGACACTTGAGTATGGATCCACTCAGGTAAGTCTCCCGTGAACAAGTAAGGTTCTAGCCCATCAATACAGTAGACCTGTCGACGTGACCACTCTGATAAGGCAGCCACCTGTCCTAGAGGACCACTACAACTAAGACTAGGTGTTATTTCCAGTCAAAATAGCGTGGATAGGAAGACCACCTGTACACAGTGACCACATTTGTAAGGTCCCTTGAGCAGTGGGCTTAGACAGGTTTCACGGTATATGTTGTGCATGTGCTTGCATGTGCCGAGGCCCAGAGTAATAATGCGAGGCATGGTGAGACATTGGTGACTGTCATGCTGACTGATAGTACTGTCGTGGACATGAAAATCCGGTTGCACGTCTAGCGGCCCCAGGGCGCTGGCCATGCAGCCGTGGATAAGCGATACACACACATGCATTTATGCCCTGCAGCCCGCTGGTCGCATCGGATCAAAATGATTGTGCACTGCACGCAGCGTTCTGTACGCGCTGAGGCCGTGAGGGCGCCGGCCCCGGTCAATCGACTAGATTTCCATGTCTGCTACAGTATATTGTCCACAGTGGCGGACACTCTATTCAAACCGCTTTGACAAAAAACTGCTTTCTGCTGATTTGTCTCCATGTCTAAGGCACAGTCAAGCTCCTCCACCTGTTGTGTCCTACCCACCAGCACCAGTTCCCGCTGCAGTAAGTTTTGTAGTACACAGTAACCGTAGTTGTACACCCTTAGCTGATTGCTTATACCGTATTTCTTACTATACATGCAACTGGTGATAATAGTCCCTAGACTTTCTGAAGTGAAGATTCCGTTCAGAGTGGAGAATCACTCTTTTTCAACACTTTACACTGCAAATCTTTATCGAAGCTCTTTTCTCCGTGGCTTTTTTTATACAAACTCTTTTCTTCTGCATTGTTTCTGTTTGTTCTGCGATATCTTAGGCACAACCTCACTCCAATGATGGTCGCTATGGCGATAAGTTACACGGCCTGTCAGAGAGTCTGTCTAGAATTGATGTAAGAGCTGGGACTGTTGATGAACTTGCCATGTTTCACGTGGGTTGCCATTGTTTGTTCCTAGGAGAAGTTGTTGTTCTAGGGTTTACTGTAAAGTAGGAAGTAGGGGGAGGGGGGGGGGATGCAAGCAGCTCTGGAGGCGGTTTGTTCTAAAGTACTCTCAGGTGCCGAAGAACGTAGCAAGTTGTTTCGGCCATATATGCCTCATCTGTACAGCTATGAGCTTTAAATGAGCCGAGCTATCGGCCATGGTGCAAAGGTAGCAACGCATACCGTTATATACTAATATAGACTGGTGTACATGAAAATAAGAATGGGCAAGGCTAGGAAGCTGACCCCTCCCCCCCCCCCCCCCCCCATTTCTTCGTTGTCTGACCGCTGTCTAGTGCAAAGCGACAACAGTGTGTCCCGCACAGAGCATCATAACAATAGAGAGTAGAGCAGGCTTGACTTTGACTAGTTGTGTTTTCTGTGATCAGGGACGGCTAACGTCACAACGGGATCGTGAAGAAGCAGGTCAGTTTTGTACACGTACATGCACATTTAGTGGTGTTCTCTGGACCTGTTTCCTTGTGCGTATATTGTGACGGACTGGTGCAGTGGCTGTATTGATTGTATGTGTGCATGAATCGATGGCACATTGTGTGTGTGTGTGTCTGCTATGTGTGTGTGTGTGTGTGTGTGTGTGTGTGTGTGTGTGTGTGTGTGTGTGTGTGTGTGTGTGTTGATGCGTGGTTTGAAATTCCAGTGTCATCGGCACATCTTCATAACAAGCTTGACACACTGCGAGGGTAAGACACACACACACACACACACACACACACACACACACACACACACACACACACACACACACACACACACACACACATCAACGCCCGCAATGATTGCCAGGAGTTCTGCTATGAACTTGTTCACTTGTTCTTTGGGTTGTGGGCAGCTGCAGGAGAGATTGATTTTGTCCATACAACACCGAATTAGGAGTGTGTTGTTATCTTGTGTGTTGTTTAGCGATCTTCAGCGCTTGGAACAAGGTCAGGGAAAAGGTCCTGTACCATCTGGTCTTGATCAGCACATGTCCACATTGCATCAACAGATGAACAACCTGGAATCCAAGCATCAACAGGTCAGTTGAATTCTGTGGCCGGGATCACTGGTGAGCACACACACTCTTTCTGTGTGGGTACCGGGTGGAATTTTGGGTTTCGTAGCGTATGCGTGCACACTGAGGTAACTATGACTGTCTAGTTGCAGACTGGTACATGTTTGCGAGATGCCTGCACATTGTATGTCTAGTATGAGATGCTGGGCCAGGAACATTCAATTTCCATGTATTGTGTTACTGCAGGCTCTGACATCTCTACAGCAAAGCCTCACCGGTTTACAGCATGCACCTAGTAAGCAGGATGTTCTCCTTCAAGAGGTGAGTGAGGTTGTATTGTTTTAAAAATGTTGACCACAGGTCAGTGCATGTTCACTAGTCAACCGTGAATCGACGAAGAAAACCTCTATTGGCACACAGTGCCTGGGCATTGAAAACACACAATCATTCTCTCTCTCTCTCTCTCTCTCTCTCTCGCTATCTATCTCTCTCTCTATCTCTATCTATGTATCTCTCTACCTAGCTATCTATCTGTAAAGAGAGCTAGCTACCTACTATCTACGTACATGTTCTCATTTCCTTGAAGCCTGAAGGTTCCACTTCCAGTTGCTGTCGCGTTGCGCAACTTGAATATTTTTTTCTGTTTTACAATGCCAGTGTGGAGTTTGGGAACCATGTGACTGGCCTGTGTATATTGAGAAGCCAGGGTGTATTGCTATCACTTTTCAGCTGCCATGCTCATAACATGCTCATAACATGCTCTGCATGTAATGATGTGTATGTGTAAATGCCAGGTGACTCGCCTGAGAGAGGAGATCAAGAGTGGCCAAGAACGTGCTGGCCAGTCTCAGCACAGGCAGGTATGTCAGTCATTCGCACATTGGGAGACGCAGGCATGTAGATAGCATACATCATAGAACATGTACTTAGCTACCAGGATTCCCATTGTGCCATCATCTAATTTCGGTATCATTTCTCGATCGCAATGATCTGTGACTTTCAGACACTGGATTCCACGGAGCGCTTGGCCGGTCGACTCGACAGTCTTGACGTGTCCTTGCGTAGGCAAGCCGAGGAGAAGAGTGCGGTGTTAGAGCGACTAGATCAGCTGCAGCGACGTATCACAGGACAGGAGGAGCAGCGTAGCAGCACTCTTGCCCACGTGCTGAAGCTGCAGGAGAAGATCGGGGACATGGAGCGGGAGCGGGATCGTCTTACAATGCAGGTTGGTACTGTCTTGACCACTGGTCCTGCTGTTAACATTGCCATTCCACAGTGGCTTGGCCAACTCTTTACCCTTGTCTGGGCACCCAGTTTAGGTACCGGCAGCAAACCCTTTGCTGCTGTGTACTATGAACTTGGCCAGGGCTTGTCTTGAGTCAGAGATATAGAGTTTAGAGTTTAGGTCCTATTTTCCTGTTACAGATCAGGTACATTGCTGTACAGTATACTGTCCTGTGTATGAAGCCTGTGTCCAGGGTGTAGTCGTAAAAGTCGTTATCTACCCGGCATCTGTGTGCTTTGCAGGTTGAGCTGATGAAAGCCGAAATGCAGAAGCAAGAAACGCTCCGGTCGACACGCGATGAGCAGGGCGTGACTGCGGCGCTGCGAGAAAGTGAGCGAGTGAACGCCGAGCTAATATCTCGCCTCCAGCACTTCGAGGAAGATGCCAGGACACTGCGCTCTGGCAATGAGCAGTTACAGGGTGAGCTGCGGCGCTCCCTGGCCGCATCACACCACGATGCTGAAGTCAGTGGCAAGGAGAAAGACAAGGCTGTGCAGCTGATGCAGAAGTAAGACAGTGCTATCACCTTGATGTCAGCTCGCTGTCCTCTAGCTTGCGTCTTTTAAAATTGACATGCACCGTATTGTAGCTTCATAGCCCTCTTCAGCAAAATTCATGTCAACGGGTGTCAATGGGTGTTAAGTTAGTGCCAAGAAGTTCTCCCTAACCAAGCCACTTGCCGTCTTCTGTAACTGCTCACTCTTTGCCCCACCGGCACAGCAACAGAAACAGCTTGTGCCATGTCAAACCTTCTGGCCGATGACCATCACCAGTAAGCTGTCAGGTTAGCTCTGATATCTATTCCCTGAAAGGGGAGAGTGGACGGTTATTTCTGTCTGTTGTGATGCTACCGGATGCTAACGTTTCTATTCTCGTTTACTTTCTGACCAGGTACAAAGCACGCCTGCAGGCAGAGTCTGAACAGAAACAGGCCATGCAGGTAAGGTGGCACTGTCCCTGATTTGTAAACACCTCAACCCTTTTGTGTCTCCTTCATATCAACTTCAGCTCGCCACATTACCTTTACGGGATACCAGTACAATTACACTCACCTGCATGTGTGTATCAAAGGCAATTTTTCGGCAGTTGGTGCGAGAGTGACAGCTGAGATGGGCACTACCCTTGCCATGTTGATCTCATTGAAAGAAGAGGTCTCTACCACCTCCTGCCTCTACTAGCAGAGTTGATTATGGGCTACCTTTACCTTTCCTTACCTCACCTTACCCAGGAGTGACCTATGAGTGACCTAGAAGCCCAGCCTAGTTTTTTTTCTTTCTACAAAATCCACTTATCTCCAGACACTGGGCTGAATGATGGAGTGTGGTGGTGGGGCCCATTAAGCTCCGCCGACCAGAGGTCTCGGCTTCATAGCTCCATGGACGCACCAAAGGGATATTGGGTAGGGAGGATTAAATTGAAAAAGAAAACAGAAGAAAGAAAATGGAAAGATTGTATTGCTCAGTGAGCAAAAGAATATAGTGGCACAGAGAGTACTAACATGCTGCTGAAGGCCAGTGTATCAGTGTAGATTATATTTTGGTCCTTGGATCATCATGCATGCCTTTGCCGTGTTGAAATGAACACCTATATTGGCATGTAACGTTGCCGTGCTGCATAGCGGCGCAGTCTAGCAAACCTTGCTGTGATTCTCTCACAGTCTCTCTATTGCATCACATGTGTTGACTGCTGCAGCAACGACTCCAGCAACTGACTGAGCAACGTGAACTAGAAAAGGCACAGGTAGGATGATGGTGTAGAAGTCACAAGTACTTTGTTGGTTAACTGCTGGTGAAGCCAGTGCAACAACATAATGATCCTGAATCAAAACTTTGGGGCATTATGTGAGGGGATGTAGCATAAAACTGTACCCCCCCCCCCCCCACACACACACATGCCCAGACCTGCTTTTCATGTTCCTACTGATCTAAATGCTGCTGATGATGTTCACGGATGAATTCAATCACTGCATCAACTTTTCATACTCACCCTGTGTATTCAGCCTATTGCAATGTGCCCTCTGCCACAGCTGCAGTCTGAACTGTCAACATGGACAGCAAGATATACGACCACAGAAGAGGATCGAATGGAGCTGCAAAAGGTGCGCATTAGTCTGTTTGCCTATGCAGTTCATACTGGGAATGCGATGTGCCCTGGTACTATGCGGGGTAGTGTATGTAGTGGGTGCCATGGGTGTTGTAGTACCCTGGCACAATGCCAGCATAAACATGCGCTGCCTTGAAGTACATGTTGCACCACACTACATTGTACTGCATACATATTCAACTGGCAGTCTGTGCAGGCTTGTCCTTATGCGGCACGGCTTTAGAATGTAGTGCATCATATTCATGTTTGATGCTTGGACTAAGGGACTCTGGTACGTCCGCCGCACCTCACTGGTCTGCACAGTACTGCACTGTACTGCATGATGTTCTACCTATGCTACTCTCTGACATATCCATACCCATTCCAATGTTACATACATACATGTAAGTTGAACTGCCATAGTGTATGTGTCCTATTGCCATGTTCAGGAACTGGACGCTCTCAGGGCCGAGGGCCAAGAGGCACTCCGGCATTACAAGGTGAGTAGAGGCTGACCGTCAATTTTGTGTATGTGTGCGTGTGTGCGTGTGTGTGTGTGTTGCTACTTCGAAAGAAAAGTATGTCTAACATAGCTGTTCACTATCATCGCTCCAGCGATGGGCATGTGTGTGTGCGTGTGTGCATGTGTGCGTGCTGTACTATTCACGTTGTCCTTCCATCTGGTCATCTGCTGCCACACTCGTCGCAAGCATTACTACCGCAGTTCTTCAAAGTACCTTTTTGAGTACATGTACCACGAAATTGCACACCGGGCAGAGTGTGTTCCGCTTACTGCCGTGCTCTTCGTTAGAATATCTAGCATGTCAGTATTGCATGCAGCTTAAAGGGCTTGGTCATGACACTAGTCTGGTCTTTGAGTCAGACTCACATGCCAACCACTAGTGTATCTCGCATTGTTGCTGTTCTTCCCATGCTTTTTTAGACTCAACACGGCCATTCCTCATCACTCACAGAAAAACTAACGTCCAAGCTCGGCAGAATACGTGAGAAGGAAAAGGTGAGGAGACAGACTTGAATGCTGCATGGTCGATGGTCTTTGAATTGCTTCAGCACCCTGACTGTGTGTACACTGTGACATGACTGTGTACAACTACAAAAGGCTTTGTTACCGGTACTAATCATTTTTCTGCCCATGCCGGTCACTATGTATTGCCTAGGAGCTCCAGCAGCAACTGAAAACATGTGTACACCGTGAAGGTGTGATGCGAGAGGAGATTGAGCGGCTCAAGAGGACAAGTAAAGAGGTCAGTGAATTCACTCTTCCCAGTGTATAGGGCACTATCATGTCGGTGTCAGTAGTGTGTGTGCCTTGCTGGAAGCTGCCAATAATCGAAGTTCAGCCTTGACATGAGCACTCGCAGGCTTCTCTGTGGAACATCTGTTTGGTGCAAACGGCATTGTCATGTATATCCGAAGCACATAATGATGTCAGATATGTGGTGTTTTTCCTCTATTTTCCTTTCGTTCTCGTTTTTGCTGTTTGTGCCATAATTATAGTTTCAGCTGCAACACCAGAAGCAAGTGGAGGCATTGATGACGCAGCTGAAGCAGCAAAGTGTAAGTGTAGCATTCTTTCTCACACTTCACATCAGCCATAAGTAGTGCAGGGTCAGGGGCGTCAGACACGCTACAGTCACTAAGGTATTGACCGTACCACTCTTTGCCCCGTAAAACGAAAAAAAACTGCAACGATTTGAGCTCCAAATTTCGAAAGAAAATTCAGCAAAGCGACCTGCACCCACCAAGTAAATTGTGCCTCAGATGGCGGACCGTGCCACCCTAAATTACCTTCCGACGCCCCTGAGGGTCACGGTGGACAGCCATGTTGCAAGACAAAAAAAGCAGCAAAGTGTAAGTGTAGGATTTCCACCAAAGAGCTCAGGCTAGTAGGCACACTGTACGCCGGCCCTGTTGATCATGCTGTGAATCATGTGTGACTGGATATTCTGCTGTTTCTCTGCTCACTGCTGTCCGTGCAGGCAAGTGCAGATCAGCGTATGGAGGCAATGACCCAGAGACAGCATCAGCAGCTGAAAGAACTTTCACAAATCATTGATCAACAAAAGGTACCATAGTGCGATATTTTAAGATACTTTTTATCGAATCTAATTCCCTTCTGGCATCCTTCCTTTCTCCAGGTTTTGGCCCAAACACAGAGGAGATAAAATGTTCACCTTCTGTACTAATTGACCTTTTTCTCTTTTATATGCACATGTCTTCATTACCACCAGCACAGCCCCCTACTCTAAGCATGATGGTTGTAATGACCTGACTAAGCCGGCAAGTCTTGTGCGTGAACACGCATCCATGTACGTGCATGCTTGTACATTCAGGGTAATGTCAGCAGTGATAAAGCCAGGCTGGACGAGCTGAACGCGGAGAAGAGGCTCGCCTCCGGTGAACACATTCGTATGCAGCGCCGCTGTGTCGAGTAAGCTGAGTGCATTCTCCTTTTTCTATTTTTCTAGTTTCCCGTGGTACTCCTCCGTGTTCGAACGCCATTTTTACCAGGATGCAAGCCTATTTACTAGTATTTAGAGCTGTAATGGGTATCAGAGTTGCAGACATCACCACACAACATACTAGTAACACTGTGTACTCGCAGGAGTTTTAATTTTTGTGTTATGTGGTGATTATAATTTATAGTGGTGTTGTCTGCAACTCTGATGTTCTTTATAACTCAAGTAAATCACTGTCTTCGCGTTTTGTGTACAAGGCATAAGGTTTTGTTTTGTTTTCATTTGTTCTATCTGACTCACTCCGTGCTTGTTGGAGTCGTTGGTAGTAAGGTAATCCCTGAGGCAGGTCTTTAGCGTCATCCATATTGACCCTTTCTGTGTTGCTTGGGTGCAGGCTTGAAAAAGAATTAGACACTTTCAAGCGGAAGGTGACACAACAGAGAGAAGCATACAAGGAGAAGGTATGGAAGTCAACGTCAATATATCACAATAATTGTTCTAGGGGAATGCAGAGATACTAATGCATGGAAAGGACTGTTGTCTAAAATGTCATTTTGAACTGCATTTTTTATGGCTTACTTGCTAAAGCCCTGCATAGGTCAGTGCACAAACACCATCCAACATGTTGGGAAAGGGGGACGTGGACTTGCTGATTGAATTCCTATGCCAGGATCACGAGGAGAGAGGGGGGGGGGGGAGGAGCTATCCTGCAGGTATAATTGAAGGTGTAGTTTTGGGGTTTATGCACTCACTTGCTCTCTACCTCTTTCTTTGATTTGGTTCTTCTTCTCTCTCTGCCTCTCTATCTCTCTGTCTTCCTCCTCCTCCTTCTTGTCCTCTCTCTCATCCTCTGTGTACTTCCCTCCTTCTTGGTGTGTGTGTGTGTGTGCGCGCGTGCACGCGTCTTCCTCTAGATCTCTCAACTAAAGGAGAGATGTATCACTTCGGATGGTCAAACACTGAAGTGAGTAGCACAATGGATGTGTTCATGGAATTGATTTGGATGGCATGCAATGAAGCTCCCTTAAAACGAGGATACTGCATGAGAGCCGGAGAAAGGAGGTTGAAGGGAATGGGTCAGCAGTTTCTCCTGGGCATTAGGCAGCTAGCTGACCCGATATACTGATTGTGTTCAACTACAGAAGAGAGATACATGGGGATTACCTTAGCAGCGCAGTTGCCTGACAACTTGTGCAAAGCCAATACCAAAGCCCAGGTGCCATGAAGAATATACTGGAAGATTTTATTATTTCCTTCCACCATTTATGGAAATTATTTTTTATCATCACGTGCTGCACGATGGACGCGTGGACAACGTGTGCATGTGTGGGCCAACTTGGCTTTGTTGCTCAAAGCCGTCATTTTTGGCAGTCTACATTGTATGTGCACCGCATGTTACACATATCAGGATACTGTAAATCAACTAATTTTCGCTGGCGATTTAGTTTCGCTGATTTCGCCACTTGGTGCCAGCCGGCCAAAGTTTGTCATAGAGTCAAATGATGCATGATTGAGCCATGGCTACATGTGAGAGCAACAACTACCAATCGATCTCTCTTTTGAAAACCCCAATCGGCCAAAGTTTGAGGACGACCAAAAGTTTCATTTCGAGATTGGCCAAAGTTTCTCACCAGCCAAAATGTGTTGATTGACAGTATCTTGCCAACCCTCAAAACATCACCAGTGTAGGGATTACAGGTACACGTTACCTTTCCATACTGTAAACGGCCTAATATTGTATTTGCGACGGATTAATGTTCGCTATTTTCGCGAGAAGAGCGTAACGTGGATATTAACCATTGTGAAATCTAACTTCAACAGTGGGTGTATGTAAATGGCCCCAGTGCTTCACGAACTTTTGCCATCGCAAACTGGCTGGTTCTAAGAAATCGCTAAAATTTAGTGACACGAATATTGGGCAGTTTACAGTAGTTTGCAATACTGCATGATGCGATATGCCCCCGGTGTGAGCACAGTTACAGTGCATGATGCGATATGCCCCCGGTGTGAGCACTGTTAGTGCATGATGCGATATGCCCCCGGTGTGAGCACAGTTACAGTGCATGATGCGATATGCCCCCGGTGTGAGCACTGTTAGTGCATGATGCGATATGCCCCCGGTGTGAGCACAGTTACAGTGCATGATGCGATATGCCCCCGGTGTGAGCACAGTTAGTGCATGATGCGATATGCCCCCGGTGTGAGCACAGTTAGTGCATGATGCGATATGCCCCCGGTGTGAGCACAGCTAGTGCATGATGCGATATGCCCCCGGTGTGAGCACAGTTAGTGCATGATGCGATATGCCCCCGGTGTGAGCACAGTTAGTGCATGATGCGATATGCCCCCGGTGTGAGCACAGTTACTGCATGATGCGATATGCCCCCGGTGCGAGCACAGCTAGTGCATGATGCGATATGCCCCCGGTGCGAGCACAGCTAGTGCATGATGCGATATGCCCCCGGTGCGAGCACAGCTAGTGCATGATGCGATATGCCCCCGGTGCGAGCACAGCTAGTGCATGATGCGATATGCCCCCGGTGCGAGCACAGCTAGTGCATGATGCGATATGCCCCCGGTGCGAGCACAGCTAGTGCATGATGCGATATGCCCCCGGTGCGAGCACAGCTAGTGCATGATGCGATATGCCCCCGGTGCGAGCACAGCTAGTGCATGATGCGATATGCCCCCGGTGCGAGCACAGCTAGTGCATGATGCGATATGCCCCCGGTGCGAGCACAGCTAGTGCATGATGCGATATGCCCCCGGTGCGAGCACAGCTAGTGCATGATGCGATATGCCCCCGGTGCGAGCACAGCTAGTGCATGATGCGATATGCCCCCGGTGCGAGCACAGCTAGTGCATGATGCGATATGCCCCCGGTGCGAGCACAGCTAGTGCTTGCACGAAAAATACTCTAATTTGAGCATCAGCCACCGATAGTCAGGACTGCTTCTCCAGCCTGTGAGATGTGTGTCATGTTTCCCTGCCTGCTCCCATGCTCATGGTTGCTCCTGCATTTATTTGCTCATGCAATGTATACATTGGCCGCTGTGTGTTTGCACTAGGGATGTACAGTCGCAGCTTTCTGCATCGCGGCGACTCGGCGAGCAGATCCTTCAAGACCAGGAGGTGAGCGAAAAGAGATACGAATGCTACACTTGAATGATGACGGACAGGCATGTGAATCTAACAGCACTCGGGGCACTGCATAGCTCTAGCACTATCAATACACTCAAACCAGAAACTACGCACTCAACTATGTACTGGTGAAGTATGAATGTAAGGTGTGCATTGACAATCAGTCCTGAAAGAAACATGCCAAACGAAAGACTATCCATATGGCTTTGAATGAAAGTTATTGTGAACAAAACTTGTCATACATCATAATCATGTGAGTGACCTAAGCGCTTGTGAACTGCACACTAGCATGCCGACTGCCTCATACAGATGTACTTGTGGCTTTATTGCTCAGGCCTATAAGTGGTTATTTGCACTGAACCTCAAGTTTGATGTCTGCATCTTGCCTTGTGCTCAGTGGATGTGTTGCTGTTGTTGTTTCAAATCTCTATTCTCACGATAGTTGCTTCTGCTGTTTTGGCTGCCCTCACTGTGTACAGACAATCTTGAGAGCAGTGGCAGGAGAGGTGGACTCACTGATCACACAAGTCACAGAGCACTCTGCCTTACCTAAGCCGGTGAGCACACCGTTCTCATGGTGGTCATGGGAGGAAAATGCACTGGGTATTTCCCCTGGGGAAATTAAATTCAATTATGTGACAAGGCTGAGGAGGAGGGGGGGGGGGGGGCTGCAGGAGCTTCATTCCTTTGCCGATACAAATATTGTTGTGGAACAGCGTCGGAGTTATTGAACAGTGGCTCTATTGCAAAACTTCATTCGGGCATTAAAATACAAACATTTTGTTTTGCTCCTCTTCTGTATAGATTCTACCCGACACATCGGGTATGGAGACAGACGCCCGGAAATGGGTCTCTGCGATATTGGTAAGTGCTATGTAACATAGGTTTCTCATACTTTGAACCACAGCTAGTAAATATGCACACATGTCTTCTCCGTATGCCGCACACACACACACACACACACACACACACACACACACCTTGGACCTTGGACGCGCTGCCATGTTCTGGCTATGCGGACCCCATGGGGGGTTGAGCAGGTTCGGAACAGTAGGGGCGATGACGGGATAGGTCCTGTGGTCTACTGAAACGCCGACCGCAATTGCAAACGATGCAGAAGGAGCTACGGTCTGTGTCGGTTGCTCTGGCCGAGCCACGGCTGCACTTGTGACGTTTCATGCCTTGGCGCGATAGCACACAGCGGTTGCAGCGGGCGCAGTGGAAGCTGCAGCGTTCACAGGACATATTGTTTGTGACCGGTGACTCAAGTGTGTCAGAAGATGCCTCTGCTGGTGATGTTGCTGGCGAGCACTTGTGTCGGGCAAATCCACCCTTGCTCCGGAACCATCTGTCGCACTGATCGCAGTGACAGCTTCCTGGCTGTTGGCTTACGGGTAGGGCACGCGTAGCTGTACACACACACGCACACACACACACACACACACACACACACACACACACACACACACACACACACACACGTGTCTTCTCTGTAATTGTATGCCGCACACACCTCGATTGTCCTGGAACATCTTTCATGAGTACATGAATACACCGTTGCTGTGGGATGATGTCATGGTGATGATGTATGATGTCATGATGATGGTGTTTGCATAGCTATTGGTTGTCCAATATGTCCATACTTACAGTGCATTGGTCTTCGATTGTTTCCCATTGTGTTGTTACTCTCTATTCAGGGCAAGCTAGCCTGGCTGCAGCGGGAGTTACAGCTCAAAGAGCAGCGGGAGAAGTTTCGGAAAGCTTCTGACGCTAGCAGCCGTGGTTTAACGTGATATGAGAATCTAATTTAAAACGACGGTCTTATCGCCCTTTCCTACCTTTGTCACGTTTACTTGATATCAATAGCCAAGACTTGATAGCCAGCCTTGACAACCTCACTGGAGTATTGCTCTGTGAAGCCAGAACAGATTGACAACTTTCTAGTGGCACATTGTCACCATGCCAATGAATTGCCTTACAAACTTCTACCCTTGACATAGCGTTCCATTATTACCAGACGTGACACTCAGCCGGATGAAATACTAGCATTGCCGCTTACCGTGGGGTGAGAATTTGACAACATTTTCAACAACATACAACTTTGCAGGTATTTTTGGCGAAGCCCCAAAGTCCCAATTATCAGTGTTCCTATTGAAATGAATCATCCACTATTTGATGTAGTACCGACTGTATGGTTTACAGACACCAGTGCTGGTCACTTTACACTGTTTAAAACTATTCTCCAATTATTTAGTGTGGGTATTGGTTACAATCACATTACGTGACATGTAGCCATAGCGTCCTATCTCCAACCATGTCCCATAGTGTTGTAAGAGAGGGTCACGTGTGTGTATGTGTGTGTGGACGTGTGTGTGTGGGGGGGGGGGGAGACCAAGGGTATGGCTGTGGGTGAGTCTGCTGATCGCCGTGACATTGTTGTCGGAGCAGACAAGATTGAGGTGGTGGAACAATTCACCTACCTTGGCAGTGTGCTCTCCTCGGATGGTCTTGCCTGTGCTGATGTCCGCTCTCGCCTTGCGAAAGCCTCAGCTGTGTTCGGAGCCCTCAAAGCTCCCGTCTTTGATAATAAGACCCTGTCGCTGCGCAGCAAGAGGCGTGTGTATGAGGCTGTCGTCCTCACGACCCTCTTGTATGGTGCGGAGACGTGGACCACCAAGGCAGGCCACCTCCAGAAGCTAAACACGTTTCACCATCAGTGTGTTCGGTCCATCGTGGGTATCGGCCGTCGTCAACAGTGGGATGATCGGATCACAACGGCCGCATTAGCGGCTTCATTCGGTGTTGACCCTAACATCACCAGCATCATCCGTCGCCACCGTCTTCATTGGCTGGGTCATGTCAGCAGGATGGACGACTCCCGCGCACCGAAGCAATTGCTGTTCGGCGAGCTGCCTGCCCCCCCCCCCCCCCCCCCCGTCCTCGTCACGGCCCGAAGAAGAGGTGGCGAGATGTGGTGTCGACTGACCTGGCGGACCTCGGCGTGACCACCTGGCTTGAGAGTTGCCAAGATCGTCCCGGCTGGAGACGAGTTGTGAGTAGCACTCCGCCGCCACAGCCCGCTCCTGATCTTCTTCTCTGTGTCTGTGGACGCCCGTTTCGTCGACCAGGAGACCTGAAACGACATGCCAAGCTCTGCGCTCGTGTTCTCACTTGAACTTTCCGACATTCGCTATCATTGCGTATGCAATGGGCAAGGGCAAGGTCAAGGTGTGTGGGGGGGGGGGGGGGCATATAATGCCGGTGAACCCCGATAGTCTATATCGGCGGAGCATTGTCCCACAAAGACAGGTGTGTCACAGTCAAATCCCACCCGTCGACACTTAGTTTGCCACACGTATAGCACTGCTGTGAACCTGTCTTAGTAACCATGGTAACCCCGTGTAGAAATTGGGACCTTGAAATGGCTACTTCAGTACTACTAACGCAATGGCATAGCAATAGCAATAGCCATAGAATCCTAGGGACAGTTATGTACAACAACATTGTGTGATGATGGTACGTACGATTATGTGACTGGGTCAGTAAATAGGCCATGCTCTGTTAGAATATAAAAATGGCAATTGGCCATGTACTATAATTATGATTTTGTATGGCCTAGGTAGGTAAGGAACTGATGCAATCAAGTGCATGATTTGTATGAGTGTGTGTTTCTGGAGCCCACGTTACGGCCTTGATGCAGCGGTTACACAATTCCAGAATACTGCATTGTACTGGTAATGCTGGTAGCTAATCCTTCTGACTGTACTCCTCATGAACTGCACTTTGCTCTGCAAGGTAGTTTATCTTGGCAAAGGTTATTTTTTCATAAGTAGACTTTTCTCCATTCTCATAGAGCACTCCAACATTATCCAGTGGCATCATTGTCATACAGGAATACCCAGCAGGTCCAGCCCAGAGCTTTGCCAGCAGTGTCCACGGGGTGTCGTCGTTCAGGTTCTTCCAATGCACCTCCATGTTCTCACGTACGGTGGATGCTGGATGCGAGTAGAAGAGACGAATCTTACCCGTTACATTCTTCGCCACCATGCTGGTATCGCAGGTTGCTGACGTGAGGTTTGTCTGCACCAGCGCTTCTTCCCAGCTCTCACCGCTATCGTAGCTCTGAGTCCAGAGCGGGTGATGACTGTTGCGCTCATCACGTGTGGTCATGAGTAAGTTTCCGTATTTGCTGATCAGCACCGGCTGGCACTCATCCGGAGACATCAGAGAGCTGTTGTAGGGCACTGGAACTCCGGATTTCCACGTGCCACCAAAGTCATCACTGTATATGCATGCAGCGCCGGATTCACTGATATCATACGGAGTGTCAAGTGTGGAACCTGTGCAAAGAGCGAGAGGAAACAGTCGTGTACTTTAAATTTACTTTCACTAAGACGGTAGCGCACAGGGAAGTGGACATACAGTCGACTCCTGATAATTATAACGAACACCATTGTTCAGGAGAATTAGTTCTTTATAGCCAAAGTTTTTTATAACAGAAATGCACATACAAGCAACGCTTCATGACTGTCATGCTTTTCGTGACTATGTTTGGTCACTGGTTTACATACAGCCCTACAATATATGGTTCGTTATACGTGAGATCTGTTCGCTACAAAGGGTAAATTTTGTGTGGGTTTGAAAGTGGGGACGTGGACAATGGTTCGCTATATCACGAAATTCGCTATAATTATGAGACTTTGTTACGAGTGGGGTGTGCAGTAGAACAGGCACGACCGGGAAATAACATCCGTTGATTGAAATGCCTTCAAAACTGAGTAATCGTTTCGTGGACCCTTCTCCTTCCTATTTCCTGGAGACACGCCTGATCTGCTGTCAACCCCACTTCTTGCACCTGGGCAAGATATTCCGAACCACATACTTCTTTATTCTTACCGTTCTTACTCTGAGTTTGGCTCATACTGCTAGCTGTGTGACGTAGGTAATGTCCACACATCACCAGACGATCCGATTCAAACGACTTCACGTGTAACCCGTAGCCCGGACCTGGTGAAAACTTGGAAAGGGCCATAATACTCTGTGTTATGTCCCTGGGAGGTGCCCACGTTCGACCCAGGTCAGAACTGCTCTGAACATACTGATACGGCACTTCACACCGATGAAAGCACTCCACCCAAGTCAGCCACACTCGCTCGTGAATCGTCTCCCCCGATAGCGGCTCCTGGTACAAGGCCACGCCGAGATTCAAACCATCTCCTTTGCTCAGTGTCTCCGCGTGGGTTACATTCGACACTAGAATGGCCTCGGACCAAGTATGACCTGCATCCTCGGATCGTTTCAGCAGGATACTGCGTGCGTGGTAGTCACTGCAAGATGGGCTTCTTGCTTCGACGAATGCGAGCAGCGCGTCTGGCACTTGGAGGAGCACTGGAATTCTGAAGCAGGCATATCCCATATCACCCGCCTTGAAAACTGTCGTTTGATCCGCTTCCGCCTGCACTGATGAAGACTGATTCTGGTGAGCATCCAAAGCATTGGAGAAGGTCGAGTAGGTGACCAGAGCTGTTAGCAGCAGCATCCATTGTAATGCTATCAACGTTGGAGAAAGATCCATGATCACAATGGGAACGTATACAGGGTTTTACATAGGTGTTTCTGAGACTTATTTTTACTCAATAAGCAACTGGTGGATTTGTTCCACTTCGTTTGATTTGGGGTAAGTTCCACCCTGCGTTGAAGGTCCCCGCACCGCAGATGCTCTCTCCTCTCCCTCTACCTGTGAGTAGTAGTGGGTAGGACTAGCAGTATCACCACACACATTCATCAGAATGATAATAGTAGACGTAGTCTACAGTCGGTGGAGTGTATCACCCGTAGCCTTGGTCTAGTCTGTGACTCAGAGTGTGATTGCGGCACGATGTGCAAAGTGTGCAAACTAATCTGTCTGCTCTATGATACTATTTTGATAGTCTATCTGTATTCTCACTTCTCGCTAGTCGAGTTGGTCACGTGTAGTGTCAAGTGGAGATCACGCGATTTTGAAAGCTTGACACGGGCGATTTCGGACAGCTACAGAGGTTGCAAGAAACTTGGTGGTGACATAGGAAGAAACACTACCCTTGCATATATATGGTTCACGTCATGCTCTCACTCTCAGTGTGGCCCTAGCAGGTGCCAGCGCAAGTCCACCTAGTGCCCTTGTAAACTGGACGGGTAACCAACACTCACAACCTCATCAGGTGAAGAATGTTTTCCAACAGATCGTTGTCTCCGTGTCACCCCCGGTATGTACTCGCGCCTTCCCAGTAGTGTGAAACCATCACCCTAGACTTAGACTGGTGCGTAGTAAAATTAATAGTATTTGCAGTCAGTGTGATCAGAACAACAATGAGCGTTCTGCCACAGCAATGCCAATGGTTCATTTGCCAGCATACTATGGCGCTGTTCGTTTTGAGAACGGTGTCTTCAGATTCACGTGTTCCATAACCTTTGAGAACAGTTTCGAATCAGTTCTTCAATTTATTTTGCTAACGGATGTGCAGTGTATACAGTGTAGCTGTAGACATGCCATAATAGGAGTAGCCCGCCGGTCGACGGTCGTTCCCACAATCTACACGACAAGGATCACGCATGGCACCGGGATCATCCGTTGAGAAATACACCCATCTATGTTCTTCTTGCTGAAGTCCTCCGAATTTGTAAGAGAACAGAACAGGCATGGCCGAATGGCGAATGGTGTGCTAGTGTTGACAATCAGCAATTTTGTTAGCGTCACAACTAGCCGTGGCCGGGTGAATGTTAATTATTAGGAATGGACAATGACCATGTCCTAGATCTCTCTCTCTCTCTCTCTCTCTCTCTCTCTCTCTCTCTCTCTCTCTCTCTCTCTCTCTCTCTCTCTCTCTCTCTCTCTCTCTCTCTCTCTCTCTCTCTCTCTCTCTCTCTCTCTCTCTCTCTCTCTCTCTCTCTCTCTCTCTCTCTCTCTCTCTCTCTCTCTCTCTCTCTCTCTCTCTCTCTCTCTCTCTCTCTCTCTCTCTCTCTCTCTCTCTCTCTCTCTCTCTCTCTCTCTCTCTCTCTCTCTCTCTCTCTCTCTCTCTCTCTCTCTCTCTCTCTCTCTCTCTCTCTCTCTCTCTCTCTCTCTCTCTCTCTCTCTCTCTCTCTCTCTCTCTCTCTCTCTCTCTCTCTCTCTCTCTCTCTCTCTCTCTCTCTCTCTCTCTCTCTCTCTCTCTCTCTCTCTCTCTCTCTCTCTCTCTCTCTCCCCCCTTCTCCGAGCGGCCATGCATGTGCGCCATCGTGAAGGGAGATGAGGCAGTACCAGCGGCTGAGCCGCATCCATTGCTCCGTAGTGACCGTGCAGCAGTCAGCATGGACATGGCTATTGCCAGTATTGGTTGTGCGCCGCATCGTCAGATTCTGAGGTAAGGGATCTTGTACTTAGTACCATTAGATGTACCAGTGAGGTAAGGGATCTTGTACTTAGTACCATTACTGGCATTAGATGTACCAGTGAGGTAAGGGATCTTGTACTTAGTACCATTACATTGCATTAGATGTACCAGTGAGGTAAGGGATCTTGTACTTAGTACCATTACTGCATTAGATGTACCAGCACTAGTGGTAACGTTAGTATCCTCTATAAAGCCCGTTACGTTAGCGCCACTGCTCTTGCATGGTATGATGATGCTCATCATATCCCCTAGAAAGCTACTTGTACGTGAACTCGTGAAGATGATAGATCATAACTTAAGGAAATCAAATTTTGCTTGTTTGTTGTTCGACTTAAAAATAGGAACAACCAAAAAAACCAAACGAATCTTTCTGACATAGTACTATCATTCCCAGTGGTTCACCGCAGTTCAGCTCCAACACCACACTGACTGTGTATATCTACGATGAGGACACGCTACTACCTGCGTTCTCACAGCCTACCTACACCCAGCCCATCTCTGAGAGCCTCAGTGTGAATGATCTTGTCCTGACGTTGACTGCAAAATTAATGATCAAGACTTGGTGGCCAATAATCCACTCCGGTTTGGACTGGACACCGCTTGTTAACATTTTACATACACATCTTCCCTCTCGTATACCTTATTTCTTCGCTACCTTGTTATAGGGAAATTTCCCGTTTGGATTTGCGGGGAAATAAGCGAAAGTCATCATCATACTAGTAGCAGTACTGCCAGATGTGGAACAGCAATGGGGTGACATTTTTCTTCTTCAACAACCTCTATTTTTTGTGGATGTTTGTGCTCCCTGGTATCCCTAGAAACCTCTTTTGTAAATTTTAGGTGGGATCAACGGCGTGATAAGGCCGTTTTGGGGTTCTTTTAGGGGTCAGTGTTGCTATTGACTTTGGGCAGATATTGCACGTTTGTAGTGTATTTTTCGAAGGTAATACTCTTAATAGGGTTTTGCTTTCTTCCGAACACAACAACTACATCATGTACATGTACATGTACATACAGGTTACATCTAACGTTACTTCAAGTGCTTGAAACAAATACATGTGCAGTGTCTTTCCAGACCCACATCAATAGTGTCACCTCCAACTTTCGTCGTCGCGTTGTTCTGCTATCCTACATGTCACCCAATCTGACCCCCGCTCTCATTGCCCGCCTCTACAAGTACAAAGGATACGTCCGTCCCTCCATCGAGTATGCTTCACCTCTGTGGAATAACAAACTGATCGCAGGAAATATTGACACTTTGGAATGATTGCAAGCACGCGTGGCCACTGGCCAGGCAGTATTTGCACCGTCGGAAAGGGCCCATTCCTCATGGCATGGAGAACGTGTTTGAAGCTGCTGAATGGGAAAGTCTTGCGTGGCGGCGGCATATACATTCAAATGATTGCCTCTGTTTTACCATTTCACCCGCCAATACCCGGAAACCCTCAATAATTTCAACATAGTTCTATCCAAGAGTGCACGACGTTTACCTCCTGCCCACTCACACTGGTCCCTGTTTCCGATCCACTCTACTACATTCCATTATCACCACGTGGAACTCCCTGCCTACCGAGATTAGGATATCTGAAACCCGTGGTGTATTTACCAGTACACTTTTCGCTTGCTTCTACTCAGACTTCCTAATTAACCTTCACATTAATCTTTTTTTATCTTAATATTTTCTTCCTTTTAAGAATTGCACCCTATTGTACACGCATTGTACACGTATATATATATTCTCGGAGACCCCCTTGAGTTAGGCTTCGGCCTTTGGGGGATCCCTCAAATAATAATAATTATGTATATGTGCAATATGATTATGTGATGGAGGCAGGTAGGACTTTGTGACTGTGTCTGTAAAGCAGCAATGCATCAAATAGTGACTCTGTAAAATTAATGGCAATGGAGCACGTACCATGGCCCTAGTAACATGTTATTGTTACTAGCTTGATGTGCAGGCCGGTGCATAATTTTGTATATGTGCATGCCTAATGCTGAGAGCGTGACAACCATTGAACCATGTCCCAGTCTTCATCATACATGTACAGTCATTCATCACTGATTATAGCAGCTCTGCATTGTACTGGTGATGCTGGTACTAGCTAATCCTTCTCACTGTACTCCTCATGAACTGCACTTTGACCTGCAAGGTAGTTTATCTTGGCAAAGGTTATTCTGTCGTATGTAAATGTCTCTCCATTCTCATAGAGCACTCCAACATTATCCAGTGGCATCATTGTCATACAGGAATACCCAGCAGGGCCAGTCCAGAGCTTTGCCAGCAGTGTCCACGGGGTGTCGTCGTTCAGGTTCTTCCAATGCACCTCCATGTTCTCACGTACGGTGGATGCTGGATGCGAGTAGAAGAGACGGATCTTACCAGTCACATTCTTCGCCACCATGCTTGTATCGCAGGTTGCCGACGTGAGGTTTGTCTGCACCAGCGCTTCGTCCCAACTCTCGCCACTGTCATAGCTCTGAGTCCAGAGCGGGTGATGACTATTGTGTGTATCGCGCATGGTCATCAGTAGGTTGCCGTAACTGCTGATCCGCACTGGCTGGCACTCACCGGGAGCCACCAGAGAGCTGTTGTAGGGCACTGGAACTCCGGATTTCCACGTGCCACCAAAGTCATCACTGTATATGCATGCAGCGCCGGATTCACTAACATCATACGGAGTGTCAAGTGTGGAACCTGTGCAAAGAGCGAAGGAAAACTTTCATTCATATAGCATACTCAGTATGCTGGGAAATGTATGTACACTACATATTGCACAGGGTCCTGAGAAATATGAATCTTGAAAGTTGATGGAAATACTTTCGGGATAGATTTGTGGGACTTGGACCTTCTTTTAAAACACCCCTGACTCACTGCAAACCCCATTCCTGCTGACCCCATTCCTGCTGAACCCATTCCTGCTGAAGTTCTGGCACTCGGACAAGAGATAATGCTTGTCTTACCATTCTGAGTTTGGCTCCTACTGCTAGCTGTGAGACGTAGGTAATGTCCACACATCACCAGGCGATCCCAGTCAAACGACTTCACGTGTAACCCGTAGCCCGGACCTGGTGAAAACTTGGAAAGGGCCATAATACTCTGTGTTATGTCCCTGGGAGGTGCCCACGTTCGACCCAGGTCAGAACTGCTCTGAACATACTGATACGGCACTTCACACCGATGAAAGCACTCCACCCAAGTCAGCCACACTCGCTCGTGAATTGTCTCCCCCGATAGCGGCTCCTGGTACAAGGCCACGCCGAGATTCAAACCATCTCCTTTGCTCAGTGTCTCCGCGTGGGTTACATTCGACACTAGAATGGCCTCGGACCAAGTATGACCTGCATCCTCGGATCGTTTGAGCAGGATACTGCGTGCGTGGTAGTCACTGCAAGATGGGCTTCTTGCTTCGACGAATGCGAGCAGCGTGTCTGGAACTTGAAGGAGCACTGGGATTCTGAAGCAGGCATATCCCATATCACCCGCCTTGAAAACTATCGTTTGATCCTCTGCCGCCTGCACTGATGAAGACTGATTCTGGTGAGCATCCAAAGCATAGCAGACGTTTGAGTGGGCTGTTGCTATCAAAATCCATTGTAATGTTATCAGCACTGGAGAAAAAGCCATGGTCGCAATCAGAACGTACAAAGGGTCTTGTAAGTTCCCCAGACTCGATCCTGCACCAGTGAATATCTTCGACTTGGTTTGATTTTGCGTCCGGTCCACTCTAACTTTGCAAGTCCCGATTGTAGACCGACCGTGTGTGTGTGAGCTTTCTACGTCTCTCTCTCGCACCTACAAAGGTTACATAATCTGAATGCTCCAGGTAGGCTGACGGTGTGTAGGTCTACGCAGTCTCCATGGTCTCTGACTTTCCGAGACGGCGAGAGTGATCACGACGTGCAAACGGGCTGTAGTGTTGCGCACCTGGACGGCGCCTCATTTCCTCACGTGATACGAGATCACGTGATTTTAAATCGCCACACAGACGATTTGGAGAGGCTGCAACTACAACTATGTACAGTGGTGGTCAAAAGTTTTGACCCACCATGCAGATTTTTCGAATTCTGAAGGTTTGGGCTGTAAGCTACTAAATTTTTGGTCGAGGACCTCTGAATCAGGCTGAATAGTGAAGTAGAAATGAAAAATGCTGAAACACGGAGTCATCTTGGGACTACTGTGGTCAAGTATATGTAAAAGGTGGGTCAAAACTTATGGCCAACACCCGCACTATCATAAACCGCCAATAGGATACACGGAATAGTGTGATTTCTATAAAGTATTCAACTAAACTAAAGTCTAGAAGTCAGTCCCGGCATATTCCAGATACATCCACCACTTTGTAACCCCTCCCTTGGCCTTGATGATCGCTTGCATATGCTGCCGCATTGAATCAACGATCTTCTTGCGCTCGTGAGGAGAAATCAACTTCTATGCCTCCCGGCACACTCGCCACAGCTCATACTGGTTTCTGGGGGTGATTTCGACATCGTGCTGCCTCAGCTCAGCAATTTTGCAGAGATTCTCAGTTGGATTGAGGTCAGGTGGCTGCAGGGGCCATGTCAGGACGGTGATGCCGTTCACCGTCCGCCGCGCCTCCGTTCTGTTTGCGGAGCGTTTGCGGCCATAAGACACCACCCATACCACCCACAAGCTGCATCATGCTCAACAACATCATGTTTTCGGATGATGCGAGGTACTGGTCCGCATTCATCGTATCCATCACCCGGCAAATGCGCGCTACGCCGTTGCTGGCCATGGCTCCCATACATTGATATTGCCGTCGCAGCGCTTCACAGTTTTGCGGGTGCATGTGCCAGCCAGAGCCTATCCTGTCCACCTCCTGACGTAAACTGCATCACCAGAGCCCTTGAGGTTGATTTTAGACTCATCAGTCCACAGAAATTACCACCAGTCATCACTGCACCAGTCCTTGTGCGTCTATACAAATTTAAGGCGTTTTGCCTTATTCACAGCACTGATGAAGGGCCATTTTAGACGTAGTAAAGACGCTGGCAACATTTGTGACGGAGTCCGCAGACCGCGAGACACGACTAAAGAATAGGATCGATGATTTATCGAGGCAAATTGCAGGCCTGAACGAGGAGGTTGTCGCCCTCAGGGAGTCCGCAAGTGCTTCTCCCCTGACTCCTCCAGCAGTTGCCCACAACCAGCACAGCCAGCGTACGATGGAGAGTACAGCGGGAAGGACCAGCAAGCGTACCCGTACTCGCACAGGCCAGGCTGCCACGTGTACCACTGATGCAGACGAACACCGTAGCACTTCCCGTAGCGTGGGTGACCCTGCCAGTGACCATGAAACGTCAACCGAGGATGAGGACAAGTCCCAGGCAATTGAGCGGCCCACTGTCAAGCCCAAGCCACTGAAGCTAGAGCCAATCACGGATGACACGTGGAAACTGGTATCAAACGAACCTCACAGAGTGAAGAAAGCCGTAATCTATGTGGGCAATTTGAACTCACATAGCAGTGAAGAAAGTGTCAAGGAATTCACTGAGCAACGCTCTGCAGCAGTAAACAAACCGGTGAAGGTTCACCAGTGCAGCATACACACCACAGAAGATGGGAAAGTGTCTGCCCGCTTGATGATCGATGCGACTGACCTTGAAATCGCCACTGCTCCAAACTTTTGGCCTCGCCCACTGTACGCGCGGGTTTGGCGCCACCGTGAGCGTCCGAAGGGGGACACATTGTCCGGCTCACACAGTGACACTCTCAGACTCCAAAGGGGGACACCTTGTCCGGCTCACACAGTGACGCTCTCTCCGAGTCCTCCGACACTCAAGCTCAAAGCTCCAATTAGATCCTTTCGGATCCTGCTGACGAACACATTTGGACTACTGAGTAAACTTGGTGACTTTCACCATGCTGTACACGTTCACCAACCTGACATTGCCATTGTCACAGAGAGCAAGCTAACCCCTGAGAAGGCTACTGATTCCGAACTGTCCTTGCCTGGGTACTACTCCCCACTGCGGAAGGATCGAACAGCTCATGGAGGAGGAGTTGCGGTTTGGGTTAAAGCCAGTCTGGCCCTCCGAGAACTCGATGACATCCAGGTCGGTAATGAGGAGCTAATATGGCTGAGTGTCAGAACTGTGGATAAGAAGTCAGTGGCTGTGTGTGCTGCATATCGCTCTGGCTCCTGCCACGACAATGACATCAGTACCCTTGAAGCCATCAGTGCTGGCATAGACCTGGCCCGTAAATCTTGTCAATATGTGGTATTGGCTGGAGATTTTAACGTACACAACGTGGATTGGCTCGGCAGCACCAAGACAACTCATGCAGGTGTGTACACTGAAGACATGTGTGCTTTTCACTGCTTGGAGCAGCACGTGCATGAGCCCACCAGGGGCCTTAACCCACTCGACTTAAAGGGGAAGTATACCCTAAAATCAAATTTTCACCAGTTGTAGTCTTCGGGGTGCTGAGTCGAATGGTCTTGGTCCGAGGAAGCTGAGACGCTCCCTTCCTACTTGAATCCCAATCGAACTCGCGCACTTCCACCGAAACTGGGTGACTGCGCCCTACTAGATGGGGATTTGTATGCAAAATGTCACTAAAAGCGCCATTTCGTTCTTATAAAAGCACGGATGACCGCGATTGGCCCATATGTTGTAGTCTTTTGGACGCTGAGTCGACTGGTTTTGGTCCGAAAAGGCTGCGATGCAGCGTTCCTCTTTTATTCCCAATCGAACATGGTTGAACAAGCGGTCACGTGCTCCTGCGTACACCAGTCACCTGGTCACCGTGCCTGCAGGGTACAACTTACTAGCCTGTTTGACCTTTTTTGGGTGCAGTCCTGTCACTCGAGTTGAACTCGAGTTGAACCTTGGTGTGAAAGTTGTCGCCTGCTGGCGCGGTGACCAGGTGATTTGGGCACCCAGGACCACGTGACCGCTTGTTCAACCATGTTCGATTGGGAATAAAGGAGGAACGCTGCATCGCAGCCTTTTCGGACCAAAACCAGTCGACTCAGCGTCCAAAAGACTACAACATATGGGCCAATCGCGGTCATCCGTGCTTTTATAAGAACGCAATGGCGCTTTTAGTGACATTTTGCATACAAATCCCCATCTCGTAGGGCGCAGTCACCCAGTTTCGGTGGAAGTGCGCGAGTTCGATTGGGATTCAAGTAGGAAGGGAGCGTCGCAGCTTCCTCGGACCAAGACCATTCGACTCAGCACCCAGAAGACTACAACTGGTGAAAATTTGATTTTAGGGTATACTTCCCCTTTAATAATGACTGACCTACCGGGAGATGCGACCGTCAATACCTTAGCACCTCTGGGAAACTCTGACCATGCCTGTGTCCTAGCTGACTTTCATGTAAGCACAGCAGAGGAACCACCAGTGACCAGAACTGTCTGGCGTTACCAACGCGCAGACTGGGACAGACTCCGCCACTTCTTTAGAACAACAGATTGGCAGTCCACTGTCAGTGATGATCCTGATGCAATGTGTATGCACTTGACCCAGAATATTCTGGAAGGAATGCGCCGATACATACCGTCTAAGCAGTTGTGCATGAAACCATCTAACCCCTCTTGGTGGACACCGGAATGCACTGAGGCTGTAGCACAGAAACAAAGAGCATGGAGGAGACTCTGCGCCGACCGGTCAAGTGCCCAGCTGCAAGCCCGTTACAATGTCGCCAAGCACTCGGCTAACCATTGCCTAGCAACTGCCAAGCAGGCATTCACAGCAAGCCTGGCGCAGAAGCTAGCCTCTGGGTGTATGGCGTCTGGTGAATGGTGGCGAACCATCAAGAAGGCCTCTGGCCACGGAAACAGCCCATCCATACCTACTCTCCGCAGCACCGATGGTACGGAGCACGACACCAACCGCAGCAAAGCAGAGTGCATGGCCGAACACTTCGCCAATAAATGCAGTCTAGGGGCAGACGACCTAGCCGCTCCATTTCCTTACGTCCGACCACGTACTGACCGCAACCTCTGCACCGCCCGGTTTCGCGAGACCACAGTCGAGCGAACTCTCCGCCAGCTCAACCCCACCAAGGCCACTGGTCCAGATGGGATACCTGCCCGCGTCTTGAAAGCTTGCTCTGCAGAATTGGCACGGCCGCTTTCAAAACTATTTACATGCTGTCTTCGCTCCGGCATCCAGCCACAACAGTGGAAGGTTGCAAACGTAGTTCCAGTCCACAAGCGCAAGTCTAAATCGTCGCCATCAAACTATCGACCAGTGTCGTTACTGAGCATCCTCTCCAAGCTCATGGAGACCATAGTCAACAGGGCAATGAGCAACTTCATGGAGACGAATCACGTCCTGTCAGAACGGCAATTTGGCTTCCGTCGCGGCCACAGTGCAGCAGACCTGCTGACTGCTCTCCACCACCAGTGGGTGCACACCGCCGGAGATAAAGGAGCTTCTCGAGTGCTGGCCATCGACATTGCTGGAGCATTTGACCGGGTGTCTCACACTGGTGTGTTGCACAAGGCTAGAGTGTATGGCATCTCGGGAGACCTGCATCGGTGGCTCCAAGACTACCTCTGCAACCGCACACTTCAAGTCCTCATCTCCGGCCAGACATCAGCCAGGCGCCCAGTTAAGGCTGGGGTGCCACAGGGCAGTATCCTGGGCCCCACCTTATTCTTGGTCTACGTCAACGACCTTGAAGACCACCTCCCAATCGGCTCCAACCTTGCCTCATTCGCCGATGACACAACCCTATACGCCGAAATTGCAACGCTCGCTGCTGTTCCTGACAACGCTAGAGTACTCCAGGCTGCTGTCGACCTTGTATCCAGTTGGGGCTCGGATTGGAAAGTGCAGTTCGAGCCAGCCAAATCTCAGGCCCTTACAATTTCCCACCATCGTCGGGACTGGCCAATACCCCCCATTGTCTTCAATGGAACTCCTGTCGAGGAGCAGCCCTCC